CGACACTTCGTTAGAGAAAGGGTAGTCTCAGGGGAACTCTGCATTCCTTATACTCCTTCCGAGATGCAGATTGCAGATGTGCTAATAAAAGGACTAGCTTCAACGAAATTCTTAGACTTACTTGGCAAGCTAAACATGACTGAAATCCATGCTTAGCTTGAGGGGGAGTGTTGGTTCAATTGGTTTAGTGTTTATGTTAGTTTTATTTATGTTTTAAGTTCTTAGTTATTGGGCCTAAACTTGTTTTATTCTTTTTTTTTATGTCTAGGTGTCCCATCACTAATCATGGGCATTCTAGTCCATTCTTGTAACATTACTTTGTAAACATCTATATAAGATTATTGGGCCGGCTGAAGTGAGTATGCCGCCAGTCTCAAATCTCTTTCTTTTCTTCTTCTTCTTCTTCTTCTTCTTCTTCTTCTTCTTCGGCTGCTGTTCTCCAGCAAATAGGTGTATTCTATGTAAAGCCGATGGGGAAGCTGGTTATCACCTGTTGGTTTCTTGCCAGCTTGCCAAAACTGTTTGGGAATGGGCTTTTTCTCTTTTTGGGTGTTGGTGGAATCCCCATTTGAATGTGCAAAGTCTATTTTCTTCTTCTTTCTTCAGGTGGCATTTGAAGAGGGGTAGGACCATGTGGAGGTTCTTAAGAGCTGCTGTATGCTGGACTTTGTGGGAAGAAAGGAATTCAAAAATTTTCTCTGAGAAAGAGAGAAACTTTGAAAGTTTGATAAACTTGATTCACATTAGGGTGGTACGATGGTTGAAGTCCTCGGATTTATTCATAGAATTCACAGTGGACGATTTGTTGAGGAAGCAGAAAGAGATTGCTAGTTCTGCCCAGGTGAAAACGGGTCTATGTATGTCTTGGACCCCTCCGCCACTGGTTTTATAAAGTTGAACTTCGTTGGCAGCAGTAGAGGGAACCTTAGGCATTCAGGCATTGGGGGTGTGTTTAGGGACGAGAATGGGATTTTTTTCAGCCATGTTCTCAGGCCCAACTGGGGCAGGTGACTCTCTCAGGGCTGAGATTTTTGCAGCTTTTGAAGGTGTTCAAAGGGCCAAGGAAATGAACATTAGGAGGCTTGTAATTGAAGGGGATTCGGAGATGGTAGTAGGGTGGCTGAGAGAAGACAAGGCTGGGTTATGGAACTACACCAATGAAGGAAAAAATTCAGATGGTTGGCTAAAGACATGGAAATAAAGTACAGCTGGGTGAAGAGATCTGCTAACTCGTTTGCAAATGGGTTAGCCAAGCAAGGGATGACTAGGGAATCTTTATTCTGGGCTTAGTTGTAATTTTGGTTTTTCATGTTGGGGGCTCTTGCCTCTGTTGGGGGAGTTAAGAAAGTTTATCTCCCTTCCTTTGTAATTAATTATTCTGTTTGATTAATGAAATTTTTGTTATTGATAAAAAAACCTCCTATGCCTGTTGTCCCCGGATTGCGAAAGGAGCTGTCATCGAAGTTTAACTTCATCTTATTTACCTCTAGTGGTTTCCAATCCATTTCAACTACTTCTTTATGTGTGTCTGTTTGTACCACTTCAGTCCACTTCCATAGTATGTCATTTGTAGAAATGTCTCTGAAGAGGTTCAATGTTTTTACCCAGTGTGCTGATCCAACTTTTATGGATTTAATCACTTTCTCCTTGGATCTTATCTTTTCATTAAATATCCTATTATTTCTTTCCTCCCAAATAGTCCAGACCGAAGCTTCCCTTACTGTCCTCCACAAACATCTTCCCCTTTTTTCTATTGCCTCAAGAAGTTTGGGTTGAATAAACTGACTACATCTTGTGGGGGAGCCCATTTGCAACCAAAGAGGGAACAGAAAAAATCCCATAAGCAAGACACAAAGGAGCAAGAGATTAATAAATGAGGAAGGGTCTTGCCACAAGCCTTACAAAAGATACACATGAGGAGAGAGGCATTTATTTGGCCTTCTTTTCTGTAGCATGTGATATGTGTAATATGTTAACTTTTCCAAGGAACACTTCCCAACAAGGAGTTTGTACTTTGGGAGGGATTGGTTTGCACCAAATTTCTCTCACTGGTAAATTTACCCCCAAAGATCAAATGGATGAGTAAGTTGAAGAAGGAAGCATACGAAAAAAGGCCATCTGGGGAAGGAAAACAAACCCTGTCATCCAGAGAGTTCTGGTCCTGAAACACCTTTTCCAAAACTGAAAGTAGCAGGCTAAGTGAATTGCACTCATTATCCCTCAATCCCCTTTTGAAGCCAAAGTCTGAGGGTGCCCCAAATCTAGAAACAGGTTCTGCCTTAAGGTTTGATAGAGAAAAGAGATGTTTATCTAAATCAAGCTTGTAGGACCCAAACCTCTGATTGCACCAACTAGGGGACTCCATTGCCCAATTCTAAGCTCTGGAAATCGAACCTGGTTTTGTTCATTCCTCAAAATATCAGTCTCCTCCACCCCACTCTTGAACGTGAAGATCAAGAAACCGGCATTCAACTTCCTAACCTGAAACGGCTTTCTTGGATGCCAAACAGCACCACTACATCTGGATCAGAGTTCACAAAATGACCGACCGGACTTCTATTCAAGACCCTAAGTCGATTGCTAATATCCCCTGCTGGATTCATGACTTCCTCCATATTTCAAGGTTATTACTCTATCACAGTGAAGTCAGGAATTCAGGATGACGAAACTGATATCGCCTCTATTCACAATGAAGTCAGGATATGGAAGTTCTTTTACTAGCTCTATAGAACTTGAGAACCCAGAAACAGGAGATTAGAGATTCTGCAATGCAAGGTACCATTTTGTTTAAATAGCTGTCAGGTGCTAGATGGTCATCTATGCATGTGATTAACCATCTTAGTCTACTTCCTCTCATTTGTATCTATTGGAGCTAGTAGCCACTTCTAGGTTCATTTTTTTTTTTTTTGAAGAGTAAACATATAAATTTTATTAAAATAAAAAGAGAGTACAATCTGATTGGGTGTCAAGGTGGCACGCCAGAACAATTAATCCAAATGGAAAAGATTCACATTACAAGCTTGAATCTCAAGAATATCCCAAAAGTTTCTCACCAAATCTGAGCTGTTAATTTACTCAAAGTCTGGAAGGGTCAAAACCCAGCTTGTGACAAGCTTTCCAACCGAAGCTACTACCATTTCAATGCCCGTTTCCTTATCCCCAAAGAGCCTTCTGTTCTTTTTGCACCATAATGTCCAACAAATTGCAAATGTCCAGCAGTAAGATCCATTCCTCCACCTCTTGATCAATCAGAGGCCTTCTGAAATTAGGACTCCATACTCCTAGGTTCTTGCGAATGACTTCATTTTTGACCCTATCCTTTCTAGTTTTTCCACTCATCCATTTCAGCATGCACATTTCTGCCACTTATTTTTTGGACATGTTGCTTCTTAACTGCTCAACACTTTGCTCCATACAGCATTGCTGGCCTTACAACTGTTTCAAATAATTTTCCTTTTAACCTAAGTGGTATTCGCCTATCACATAACACTCTAGATGCCTCCTCCATTTTGCTCATCCTGTTGGGTGACATCATCCTCAATCTCTCCCTTTTATGAGTTATTGAACCAAGGTAGTGGAAAAGGTCACGTTGAGTTATCTCTTGGTCTCTAATCCCAAGTGTACCCTGGTTTGCACTTCTATTATCATTAAAATTCTAATCATATATTAATTCCTGTCCTTTTATGAGCAGCATCTGGGAGCATTTTTTACTTTATTTGATTGTAGCTATGTACCTGGATACCCATAAAAGCCTAGTGTACCAGTGTTGGACATGTTACTTACAGGATGTGACATGGCACCGGATACTGCATAGACGCTTCTAGATGTATACAATGACACTATTACTTCTAAAATATATAAAATGGTATTTGTCTGTTATAACTAATTATACATAAAAGAATCTGTACATGTTAGAAATTTAAATAAATTTGGCAAGGCATAAGTCTTGAGAAATGACATTTAGCTTTAAAAACTAGTTATTAAAGCATGAGACAAACATTTTACATGGGACACCTTTATCTGTATCCATGTGCATGGTACAGAAATGTTTCCATATAAGAAATGTTATATGGAAACATCAAGCTTCACAAACTAGTTAAAGAAGCATGATAAATGCAGTAATACTGCTCCATTAGGAGTATTGGAGGAACAGTATGGATTTGCTATTGTACATTCTTACATTTTTTTTGATCAGAAAGAAATTTAAGAATCTTATCAAGTCATGCTAAAACTGTTTAATACGTAGTAAGCAATTCCAACCCCCACACATTCACAAAAGTTACAATGGTGCCCAAAACAACTGTTGCCTATATACCCCTTGTTTTGCTAAAGCATCAGCCATCCCATTTGCAGTCCTTCTTACCTAATTGAATGTAATGTTCAGCTCCTGTGTGATGCTCTCTATTTCCCTAAACTCATGCCTATAGACCCATGGCACTAACTGTTTATTTCTGGCCCAAGAAATGATCAGCTTCGAATCTTCCTCTACTTCCAAGTGCTGAAAACTTGATTGTTTAGTGAGTCTTAAACCTTGCAGCAGCGCCAACTTAGTTTTACTTTATTAGCTGCTGGGGGTATCCACTCCATAACTATCTTTTCCTATTCTTTAGAAGAGAATGCCACTTCAGTCCATGTCCTTCTGATGTCATTGACTGAAAAATCTTTGAACATATCAAGTATCTTTGTCCAATGTGCTGCTCTGGTTTTTATAACTTCACAAATTTCCTCTTTGGATCTACTTTTCTCATTAAATATCCTTCCATTCCTTTCCTCCATGACAGTTCACACTACTGCAGCCCGAATTGCTTTCTACATAATTCTTCCTCTTTTTCTTGGTTCTTAGGAAACTTGGGCTGAAATTGAAAAGACTTGCTACATCCTTGAGCATATGTTATATGCATACATATTTTCAGAACTGTGAACATTTTTCCTTCTACTTAGATATTTTAATGGTCCTATATAAAATTTTATTATACTAAAACTGGGCAATTTTTTTGTAGGTATCCAGTTGTCCCAACTTTCCTGACAAGAATATTCTGGTGGAGAGTTTGCTTGGATGAAGCTCAGATGGTGGAGAGTAATGCCACTGCTGCCACAGAAATGGCATTGCGATTACATGCCAAGCATCTATGGTGTATTACAGGGACACCTATACAGAGGAGATTTGACGATTTATATGGACTTTTGAGATTTCTTAGAGCAAGCCCTTTTGATATCTATAGGTGGTGGGTTGACGTTATAAGAGACCCATATGAGGTATGGAGTTTTTTTTTTTGCAATTTTCCTTTTTTTCGAAGTTTTTAAGCAATTTCTTCATATTTATAATGCTGTTTTTCAAGGGCTGTTATTGCTTAAGCAGAGAATACAAACAGTCTGGTTCCTTGTTCCAAGTTAAAACTCATTTGTTTTTGTATACAGACATTTGTTAGCGAAGTAAGGTCTATGTTTTTCACTTCAAGCTGTTTCTGATAATCCAACATGATCAATGCTCCCTTGAATGTGGTAAACTTTTAGCATTGTTGAAGTAGGATGGTGGGTAGATTTAAAGTTTATAATAGATAATAAAAGTTAGGGGCTGTTGCTTGGTGTTATGTTAAAACCTTAGGCTGACAACTGTGAGAATGTGGGTTCAAGTCGAAGATGTGCAAAATTTCCATAGGTTAGCTGTTAGGTACATATCCAATCCGCCCCTCCCAAAACTCTAGATATTCAGGACAAAGGTAATGGTTTTGTAAGATAAGGATAATCTGAGAGTTCTGAAATCAGGATCCGAACACCAACGGTGGGGAAGCGCAGGAAGCAGAGAAACTTGGTGAAGGGGTTATGACAGAAGCCAAGTGCGAAGATGGTAAAAGGTCATCTGTAAAGAGGCTAACCCCCTAGAGGTTTGGTCACTCCTAGTGGTGGTTGGATGAAACTGAATTTTGATGTCAGCAATGTGGGCAATCTGGGTCCCTCAGGAATTGGAGGGGTGATTAGGGATGAGGGTGTTGCTATTTGTGCCTTGTTTTCAGGCCCAATTGAGCAAGGTGATTTAGTAAGAGCAGAATTCCTAGCAGCAGTTTTTGGGGTTGAGAAAGCTAAAGAATTGGGTGTTGGTAGTCTGATCATTGAAGGTGATTTGAATATAATAGTGGGATGGCTGAAGAAAAAGGTGAGGGGGCGGTCTCCCTGGCCTTTTCCAGGTACTACTGAGTGCGGTCTCCCTGGCCTTTTCCACGTATCTCAACCCAAATACCCCTAAACACTTGTTCCTCGGAATACCTCATCATGTTCTTGAAATGGATACTCAGCCCGTGTAAGATCCTATATTACATTCATCTCATGAGTTCTAGGCAAGGCTTCCTCAGCATGGTCACATGCTGCGCAGAGAGCAGTCTTGAGTTTCTTATTACAGGGGATCTTGCTAAGTTTAGCGAGATTGCACTTATCTTGCCTTATCAATGGGGATACCATGATCTCCAATGGCTGTCACAAGGTCGTCATAAGGAACTCGCTGGATTCAGTAAGATCGCTCGTATCTTATATTTGTGATATGGCACCGTAATCCCACTGTCGTCATATACTTATCCACTCTCTCATAGGTTTTTAGTATAAAATAATGGTTTAGAGCAAAACGTAGTTCTTGCTAGCCTGATATCCAGAGTAGGAAAGAAGTCCAGCAACAAGCACTTTAGAAATGGATAACAAATAAGGGCAATCTTGCTATGTGAGACTGACAGCAGAGAAAAAAATGTGTGGAACTTGTGGAAAATAGTTAAAAAGAGAAAAGAAAAGGAAAGAAGGTGATAGGGGATCAGTTCTGTCAAAGGGAAAAGGAAGAAGAAAAAAGAGAAGAAATTTAGAGAGAAAAGAAGGGTTCACAGTGGAGAAGATTTGAACTGTCTTTCCCTTACTGTCGATCCAAGTAATATTTCATTTCTAATAATCACAGAATTACAAAAATACCCCTGTTAAGTAAATTACAAGTTACAACAGAGATAAAATAAAAAGCATATAAAAGACTACTTTTCCCCTTTATAAGGTTTATAATTTGACAGAAAACATGACTCCTGATAGAGGCATAGAACAATTGCAGGACAGTATTTGTGTAGCTAACCCAAATAGTTGGTATTGAGTAAATGAGGCTGAGTTGGATTGAGTAGAAAAAATAAGAAACTAGAAGAGAGGAAAAGATAAAATAAGTTTTTTTTTTTTTTTTTTTTTTTTTTTATCATTTACTAGGTAAAAAAGCTTCATTAAGGGTTGATATAAACTTACAGGAGGGGATGGGTGAGGAGCTAATGCTTAGTTTGGAAGGAGTTCAAATACAAATATGTAGAGTGCAAATACATACAAAATAAAACAAAATACAAGGTTTTACACTCTACATATTTGTATTTGCACTCCTTCCAAACTGAGCCTAAGTGTGGTGAATGGGTTTTTGGAGGTAGGAGCATGTGGCATTCTTTGTCTAAGGAAGGGTGTTTTAAAAGACATGTGTTCGGTGCACCTAGACATACAGGAAAGGCACATTTCAAGACATGTGCCTTGCTTGAACCCAAACACATCCCCTTTCAAAAGGCATGCACCTCTTTTAAATGTATCATTTTTTGTTATCTGTTTTTTTGTGGATTCACACCTTTGTAATGGTTTATGAACTCATAAATTACATTTTATTGTTGTTTGTACCCTAGTAATAGTTTATTAACTTTTAAAGTAAGCAAAACAAAAACTTTTTAAATATCTGAAGCCTTCTTGCAAATAGGATGCCAAAGCAAAGTTTCCATTAAAGAAGCAACAAAAATACAGCTAACATCTAATTCCTAATCCTAAAACAGACTGAACTGCAACTAAAATCACAAAACCAATCTTTTTATATCCACACGCCAAAAATTTAAGTTGAGGGCTCTACCTTATGCCCTTGCATGGACTTGTTTAGGCTTGCCTCAAGGAAGCCTTTATAGAGGCAGAGGGCTGATCTCCTAGGATTAGGAATACGAGATGTTTAACATCACATGGGTTACTTGAGCGAATGCAGTTATGACTTTTGGAGATGATAAACAAACTGAAGGTTTTACATGCTTAAAGCACTTTACAATACACATTTTTGCTTTCACTTCCACATTTTCATTTTGAAAATGTTTTATACGTTATGCTTATGTATTTTAATTTGAGCCAATAAACTTTATAAAGCATTTAATTTCTTTTAAAAATTAAGTTTACATTTTTTATTTTTTTTCCAAAAATTTGTGCCCATGGTTCAAAGTATCGATTCACCTGTGTATCGGTACTTTTACCGATATGCCTTCTATTTTTTGTTCTTTTTTCAAATTATATATATGTATATATATAATTTAATAAAAAAGAGTTCGTGAAAACACCTGTAAAAAGGTGTATTGGCACCCAATGATATAATGTGATACACTCCGTATCAGGCGTATCATGTCTATACTTTGCACCTTGTTTGTGCCTTCTTAAAAAAGGTGTGCACCTTGCCTTAGCCTTGGGTGCTAAAAGGCCCTTGTGCTTTTAAAACACTGATGGTTGGAAGTTATTTGGTATGGAAAAGTTGGTTCGAAGAGTTCTGGGTTTTAAGTTTGAGTTGGAAGAATTTTGGTATTTTTTTCTATCTTATATTTGCAATCTCTTATTGCCTCAGCTTGTACTTGATCTTTTTTCTTTTATGAAATTTATCTTTAGTCTACAATACCCAAGAAGGAGATCAGACAGAAAAAAAGCCCTCAAGAGAGAGGACCAGACAGCATGATAGAAGATAGAACTAAATAAACTGAAAATGGGAGAAATCTATCGTAGAAGTGATGCTCCTAAATGCGACTCCACCCTCCCCACACCTCCTCTAGCTAAATTGTCTTGTAAAGAGTTGTCCAACAAGATGTCTACAAAGACGCTAGATCTCTAACCTAGGGATGCAAGTTGGGTTGCCTGAATTAAAGAATTTCAACTACATTGGGTTGGGCCCATTCAAATTTTGACAAACACTCAACCAACCCTATCCAAGTTGCACCCCTTGGTCTGGCTCCTCTCACATGTGTCCCTTCTATCCTCTACCAACCAATCACCAGGCAATCCCCTCTCAACCTCCACATGCTGAACAGCCAATGCTGCTGCAAATCTAAAGGCCTTCAAATAATGAATGCTCTAAACTCATCTCTAAGTCAGTCACCTGATCCAACAAGGCCAAATATGCCACTAGGACCTCTCCTGATGTCTCCATAAAAGCAGTAAATCATTTCTTGTATCTGATGGTTCTGCATTCCCTAGAGGCAGCTATTTAAGCTTCTCTTTACTTCTCCTTGGGTGATGGAGGAAACTATGATTGTGAACTTTTCATGTGGGCTAACCAAAAATATGTGACCATCTGAGGATCATGTTGTCTAAAGAGAAAGAAGGAAAATTAAGTGCCCTTTTTTCTTGCTACTAAATTAATTTCCTCAGGATAGCTTGCCATATTCCTGGTTTGGGTATGTCTGGTTGAGTGCTTCTATATCCAGTTCCTCCTATGCTTCACCTCATTCCCTAATCTTACTCTTTTGTTTACTAGAGGAGAGATGCGAATGCTATGGAGTTTGCACATAAGTTTTTTAAGCAAATTATGTGGCGTTCATCCAAAGTACATGTTGCAGATGAATTACAGCTGCCACCACAGGAGGAGTGTGTTTCCTGGCTCTTTTTCTCACCAATTGAAGCACACTTTTACCAGAGACAGCATGAAACTTGTGTAAGTTGTGCCCATGAGGTTATTGAAAGTTTCAAGGATGACATTAATAAAAGAAAAGCTCTAGGTAATTTGTTATTCTTGTTATTATATTTAATCCTATCTATTTTGTATAAAAGGAAGTAACTGCCTATCTATTAAACATGTTTTCATTAACTTTTTATCCAGATTCTGAGTCATTTGATGCTTCCTGTGATCTTTTTCTTACCCACACTGAGGCTGCAAAACTGCTGAATTCACTGTTGAAGCTTCGGCAGGCATGTTGCCACCCTCAAGTAGGGAGTTCTGGGTTGCGTTCTTTGCAACAATCTCCTATGACCATGGAGGAGATATTAGTGGTGAGTTTCATATGAGAATTATGGAGGTTATATAACCCTATTTTTTCCCTTTTCCATTCTAAATGTACTGAATTGTTTTTTTCCCTGTTCTATTTATATATTACGACCTTGCTTTCAGGTACTTGTGGGTAAGACCAAGACAGAAGGGGAGGAAGCTCTGAGGAAATCGGTTGTTGCATTAAATGGGCTGGCCGGAATAGCTATAATTGAAAAAGATCTCTTCCGAGCAGTATCACTGTACAGAGAAGCACTTTCTTTAGCTAAAGAACACTCAGATGATTTCCGCTTGGACCCTTTGCTGAATCTTCATATTCACCATAATCTTTCTGAAATCCTTCCACTAATCTCAAGTTCGGACAGGAGCCAATCAGTTGGTGGACAGAGCCTAGAAAACCCTGAAGAGATGGCCTCAAAATTGCATGAAATTGATGATTTTGAACAGTACTCTGCAAAAAGACAAATAATAAGCAAGGCTAGCACCTTGGATTCAACTGGGCATCTTGAACATGAAGAGGAACTACTTAATTTTAGTTCTAACCTGTCAGCAATTGATGTTGAAGGGGAGAAAGGTACGGAAAATGATGCTCAGTCCTATGTATCATCTAGATCCTTTAGTGATGGTTGTTTGAGAAAGACATGTGAAAATATTAAACAGAAGTACCTATCTGTGTTCATTTCCAAGCTATCCTTGGCCCAGCAAGAGTTTAAAAATTCATATATGGAGGTATGTTTCCTGTTTATTCTCACCTAGTAGTAAACAAATTGGTATATTTCCTTTCAGAGAATAATGTGCTGGAAAAACTGTTCTTTGCACGTTTCAGTAAATTTGGCATCTCATTTATAGTCCAAATAACTTGGGCTTGTTTAAATCCACAATTTAGCTTGCAAGTCTCGATCCTGACGAGTCATAAAAAGTTAGAAAACAAATAAAAAAGGGAAAATCTATGATGCGGAAAAGATATGATATGGGAAGAGTTTTGACCAATCAAAACCTACCCACCCATGAATTTTGATAAATAACACCTTATTCGCTATCGCGTTTATGATTCCAGTTTATTGGTCAGTTGCTTTTCAGACATCATATCTTTTCCATATCATAGTCGAACCCTTTTCCAGACACTTTATGAGTGAATTTCTGTATTTATCTTTCATTTTGAGTTTTATATGGGAAAATCCTAGTCCATCTCATGAGTTGAGTTTTGTAGACTTGTTTTTATTGATAACATTGTGGCTTTTTATTAATGAACAAAAGAATGAGTTATATACATATACAGCCAAGATAATCTTCAATTTAGGCTGGTATTTTTCCACCTATTCTAGGGGCCATTACTTGAGGTAATGGTAATATCTTGGGCTGGCAAGCATGAGAATGCAGGTTTGAGTCTGAGAGCAGCTGCTTTGTGCAAAAATGCCAAAGGTTAGGGCTGTATACAGTCTACCCCTCTCAAGACCCCAGATAGCTGGAATCAACATTGGGTAATGGCCTTTTATTGCCACCTAACCTAATTGTGTTCATTATGCTATATTTGACACCAAAACAATTGATTCCTGCTCGTCCCTAGTTTGGCCAATGTATTTGTTAGTGTCGAGTATGTAGGGGTATTTCTGTCTTTATACTTATGTTGAGGTTGCTGATCTGTAATATTATATTAGAACTAGTGTCCCTCACTTAAGTAAGGGCACATGTGTCTTTTTCATTATGTTAGTAATACAAAACATGTCTGGCCGAATGGGAGAGGTAATTTTTTGTCTCATTCGAACCAGACTTTTCTTCTCTCCTTTCCTCCTCTTTTCTCTCTCTCTTTCTTTCTTCTTTCTTCTTCTCTCTTCTTGGCTGTTACCAGACTAACAGAACTCAAGGGCAGGCCGAATCATAATATGGTATCAGAGCACAACTAAGCAACTCGGATCTGCCCAGATTTCTGTTTTCTGCGCACTCAGTCAAGGGTTTTCTCTTGATTTCTCTGCCATCGATTGGAGATAAGGGAAAGGGCTGAAAAGGAGT